TTTAATAAGAGTTGGGATTGTTTCACTGCTATACACTCGTTTATTGTATTAAAGAACATCAAGAACACAAAATTGGATTCATCATAATATTGGTTCATAAGGCACTATAGTCATTTATCTACACATGGATCCTTTTATGTTATTTATTTTATTTGACTTATGTGTTGATGACTTACTTAACAAGTCAACAAATACCAGAGAATCCATTATTTAACCAAAGAACAAAAGCATTGCAAATAATCTACATGCTCTTTTCTTAGTTCATCAAATAGAAAAGCATAGAATTTAATGATAATCTCTCAACACTTGTCCTGTTTCCTGTTTTGTTACTGAAGGAACAGGGCACATCCTGTTCTGTTAGACATGGGACCTTGGTGGCTTTGTGAAAAGTGAAATGAATCAATTTAGATATAATCTCTCCCCTATTCCCCCAAATTGTTTTACTAATCTGGGGACAAACATAATCACTTATTTGACCATCTGCTTGATTTTTTCTTTTTGCTCCTGCAGATGGACTGTCCACCTCTCTTTACCTTGCCCTGGGCATAATGAGCAGACCTTCCTGAGCTGCATCTGTGGTCTTCCTTATCTTCTGGTTGCTGTTGGAAGCAGTCAGTGGGAGCAACAGCAGGAGACTGGGAAGTGGGAACAGAGTGAGCTCAGGGTTCCCTCTATGACAAGTGGCTATAGGTTGGCTGCATCTTCCCTGGGTGCAACATATGGTGCCATCTACCCCAGAGCCAGAGGTTTATGCTCAGGAACCAAGAGGTGCAGGTGGGAGTGGCCATTTCCTTTCGTACCAGTTAACCTACTGGAGGAATTTGTTTCTTTTCTCCTAGGGCCCTGGATCCACAGGCTTGGAAATCTAATGCCCAAGAAGGAATGCTTATGTCAGGTGACATGGTAATGGTTCTTTGAACTTCAACCTCGACTGGTCAACATTCGACAGCAATCAGAGCAAAGATGCCCATGAGTGGAATCCATAGGGGTTAGCCTCCTGGAGCACAGAGCAGGGTGGAGAAACATGGAATGTCGATCCTGGGTGGGAAACAAGGTTTTGGAGAATCCTCCCTTTATGCCCCTCAGCATCCATGCTTGTCTTTTGACTGGGAGAGAAATCCGTGTCCCCAAAAAAGGGGACACAGAGTCCTAACTGAAATTTTATCTTTTCTCAGTCTCCAGGTGAAGATTACGTAAAAATGATTTTCTAGCAACATTCCCTGAAATTAGGAGATCATGTGTTCAGGCAATAAAAGTGCCAAACAACTTTGCTGAAGGAAACTATGGTTGTGTGCAAACTGCCTGCAATTCTGCTTGAGAGGATCTCATTCCTGCATCTGCATGTGGACAAAAGATATGTAAAGAAAGAATGAAGTTACAGTACAGTGTTAATAAGAAGACTGAGTATTTGTGCCCCTCTCTGTAGTACCTGGTAACTGTCCTACACAGAGGAAAAGACCTTCTGTTCCCAGAAGTTACTCCAAGCTCTCCTAAGTGTGAACTTTGTCTCTAACTTGGCAGACAGTCAATGGGAATCAGGAGAGAAAATAAGATTTTGTTTTATAAAAGAAGCCAAGGTTGTTTGAGAAGAGGGGAGAAAAGTGATCAGGACAGAGCCAGTTACAGGCCTTTCTAACCATCAGATTTCACATGTTGTGTCTAAGAGCTCAATAATATGCAGCGATGTTTAGTATTAAGAATCTGGTGAATTTTTTTTTTCCAGTTTGTTTGTGTTTTACTGATGCTAGTGCTCAGGTCTTGACCACGTACTTCTTCAGCCAGGACAGCTGCTCCTTCCACAGCTGCTTCTTGGTCCTCAGGTTTTCCTCCTGCTTGTTCAGCCAGCGGCCCAGGCACCTGTCTTCTTGGGCTGCAGATCCATATCTTGGGCTTGTACTTCTTAACCTTGTAATTTCCTGATGTTCTCTTTCTGAGTCTGATTGATGATGGTGAGAACACAGGTGATGGATTTGGGAACAACTCTGTTCTTGGAGAGCTTGGCAACAGCGCCTCCTGTCACTTTATTGAGGCATAGCTGGACAGCTCCACCTTCAAGTCCTCCTGCTGTTTTAAGCAGCTCCTCCTTCTTTTTGCCAGGAAGGTCTGGAGCCTTAATCTTGACCATGACTATATAATCCACCACCGCCTAGGGACTGAGGCCGGGGGCCATGTGAATTCTTCTTAAAATTAAATTTTAAAGTAAAATTCAAAAGCAATACAAGGTTTCTATGTGACAATGCAGGGAATGTGGAAGTGACAGAAAAAACTATCCTGATCCCAAATGTTTAGAAGTGACCTCTCCAAAGTTTTGCCCTTTCCTCTGTCCCAGGCTGCATCCCTGAACCTGAACATAAAGAACACCCAACACAAAAGAGTAAACATGAATTTCCAGGTGTGCCAGGCTATTTTTAGAATTGTGATTTTTACAAAGTGACTCTGAGGTAACAGACATCAATTTTTACACAGTACTACTCTGTATGGTCAGTTGGTAAAGGATAATGTAACTATGAAATCATGATATTTAAGATGTTCTTAAACTTAATCAGCTTTAATATGATAACATAATGTTGGTCAAATTATTCAAACTCATTGTGTCTCACCCACCTCAGGAATGAAAGAAAATGAGTTGAGCCCAAATTATCAGGAGATTTTGAACATCCATCTATGCAAAACCCCCCACCATGGGGTAATGTGAGCCCCTCTCGAATAGGCAAAATACCAATCTCACTTCAACAGATATTAATGGAGTCACCACTCTACTCAAATAAGCAGCTTTCAGTGTTTTTATGAATCAGACATTTAAATGACCATTTAATTAACAAATGTTTACTTAGGACAGGAGTGCTGGTTGGCCTCTGGCTAGTTTGCCTTTGCTGTGTGTGGCCAAAGTGTCCTTGGTAAAGCTCATCTTAGCCACAAGGAGAAGGGCAGGAGCAGTAAATGTCTCTAAAGTTGTACTTCCCCCACCCCACCATAGGGTTGTTTGCTCTGTGCACAAGGTCACTGTCCTTCTAGTTACGTGTAACTCAAAAGCACTATGGAATCATGTTGACAACTTGGATTTTAATTGATTGGGATGACTTCTCATGAAAGTGTCTTCATACATAGCTAATTTCTCTCTAAACTGTAATAGTCACATCTCAGAGTCACTTATCTGTGGAGTCAGGCACTGAGAGGGAGCAACAAGAGGAAAGGGTCTAGTTGTAATAGGAAATGGGGAAGACAGATGAAGGAAGATCCCCCAAAACAGGATGAAGATAAATTTCTGCCCCTCCATACCCACCCTTTCCTGCACATGCTGAAGGTGTTAACCTTGACCCAGCCTTCAGTAGAGGGTCAGGGTGTTAGTTGGGCTCTTTCAAAAGAAGGCATGTCTAAATTAAAAATCTCCTACCACAAAAACAGAAGCTCAGGGAGATAGATGAGTCAGTGAACCCTAGGGACCAATTTCCTTGAGATCATTTAAACTTTGAATAATCATGTTTAGCAATGCAACTAAGGTATATTAGACTTTGAAATTTCAGTTGAAAATGTGTTTGATTCAGCTTAGACCTCTTCAGAGAGATTTTTCTTCTTCCCCTCATATAGCCACAGGAGTTTTCCTGTTTGGGGCTAGAGGATCAGTAATACCAGTTTTCTTTTCTTTCTTTTTTTGGTCTTTTGAATCAGTTGACTACCTTTATGAGAAGGTAGTGAACATAGTGATATTTATGTAATTTTGCTTTATACAGAAATCAGTCACATAATTTTAACCATTAAATGTCCTCATTTTACAGATAAGAGAACAGAAGTCCAGGGAATCTGGTCCCAAAATCCCATATGGAGTAGCATTCAAGGAGAAGTGGAAGGTGGAGGGCCCCTGGTCTCACCCAGGGCTGATCCATCAACCTGCCTGAGGATCATGTCCCCCCACAGGAGTTGAGCGCCAAGCATGCCAGTTCATGAGGATGCTGAGAAGTTAGCCCTACTGTTTTCTGTGCTTTTGATCCCTGATGCTCCACTGTAAAGGAACTAGCAGTGGGTGGGTCAGCAACTTAGAAACTGGAATCAGGAGGCGACTTTCAATCTCAGTTTTCAATCATTTTTATGGCAAATCTCCAAAGAATCCTTCACCCGTGACATTATTTGCACAATATTTTATTTGCACATTCTTCAGGGTATAGTGATTTTTAAATTACCAGTGTATAAGAGTGCTGTTTAATAGAAAAAAATGTGGGTCAGCAATTGGAGCCAAGAATAAAAATTCTATAACTGCTACATTAAAAAAGTAAAAAGAAGTAAAATTCACTTTAGGACCATTTTTATTTAGTAATCCAAGATATCTGAAGTCATTTCAAACATGTAATCAGGGATGCCTGGGTGGCTCAGTCGTTAAGCGTCTGCCTTTGTCTCAGGTCATGATCTCAGGGTCATGGGATTGAGTCTCGCATTGGGCTCCCTGCTCAGTGGAGAGCCTGCTTCTCCCTCTGCCTGCAGCTCCCCCTGCTTGTGCTCTTGTCTGTCTGTCTGTCTCTCAAATAAATAAATAAAATCTTAAAAAAAAACTAATTAATATAGAGATTAATGAGATTTTTAATCTTCTTTTTGTAGTCTTCGAAATAATGGTTTGCAGGTTACACAAGCAGCCCATCTCAGCTTGGACTAGTGGACTAGGTATATTTCACATGCTCAGGAGCCACATGTGGCTAGTGGCTCGTGACTACCGCATTGAACAGAACAGATTCTGCTCCAAATGCTTCAGAAACGCTGCGCTGGACGATCTTTAGAAAAGTCTCTACAGACTGGACAGCTCCCTGGGTCTGCACCAACCTGCACGCCAGGGCTCCTTAGCCTGCAAGGTTCTGTGCAGTGGACCCGCGGAGAGCGAGAGTCTGGGGTGCTGAGGCTGACCCCAGGGCAACTCCAGGGACCCAGAGCCGGTGGAAGGTGCCAGACATGGAGTGCCCTGGGAGACAGAGACCTTTTTGCTCAGGGACCTGGGGAGCAGGAGTGCTGTGCGCTTCCCAGGCAGCGCAGTAGTACAAGCCCTCGTCACGTTTCTCCAGCTTCAGCAATAACAGGGTACAGCTATAACCATCCTTGGCCTCTATGGCATTGACTTTATCCACTTTCTCGACCGAATCCCACTGGACATCCCATTGGTACATGGCCAGGCGGAGGAGCCTCTGCGGGGCCTTTCCCTCCTGGTGGATGTACCAGGGATGTAGCTGACCTTAGTGTTCGCTGTGCAGAGCAGGGTGGCTGAGCTACCCTCACGCGCCACGACTACTGCTGGCTGCTCCAGCCTGGTCTCTGCATGGCCACCTGCAAGGGGGACATCGGTGAGGCGGTGGCAGGAGCCTGAGGGCACCCCACGCACCCTACACCAGGGAGGGAGTCAGGACTTACCGGGAAACAGGATGACATAAAGGACAGCAAGGGGGCCCAGCATGACTCTCCTTCCCACCAGAGGGAGAAAAGCCCAGGGGGACCTCACAGCTGCTCCTGCTGGCAGGAGACCGCCTGGGTGGTGGCAGAAGGCGGGTAAGGGTCTGAGCCTCTGCTTCCTGAGGCACCTGCAGGTACTGGTGAGTCAGACCCTGCAGGGAAGGAGGGGCCTGAAATCAGGGACTAGTCTGACCACAAGGGGGCGGGACGGACTATCAATGGTCAGGGCCAGGAGAAACACAGGAAAGTTGGTGCTCCAGAGCACCAGCAATAATAGCAATTCTTTTTTCTTTTTGCTTTATTTTTTTAAAATTTTATTATGTTATGTTAATCACCATACATTACATCGTTAGTTTTTGATGTAGTGTTCCCTGATTCATTGTTTGCATATAACACCCAGTACTCCATTCAGTACGTGCC